ATATCTACGATGCAGTGTAATGTATATTTTTATGAAACTGTATTTCTAAAATCAATTCAATATCTGCATTGATTATAAACAATAGATAGTATCAACGCTCTTCAATTATTTCTAGACTACCAGAATCCGTTGATAGTTATGAAAATTTACAGGGCTGATGATTTTTAAGCGCTAGCAGGAGGGTAGTTTCTCTCACAGTATTACGGAAATACATATTCATATTTTTCTTTTTAGGTTAAAATAAAGAAAAAATTATCTTCAAATTATGATAATCAGGAAAATCATTCGCAATATATGATTTAAGATTGTAGCGATCTTCGAATAAAAATTGAAACAAATTTTTTTCAAGTTTAACTTCAGTAAAAGGACAAAAATTGCGAAAAACAAACAATAAGATTGTGCAAAATATGTCAATATTAACATAAATAAACAAAAAACGGAAAAAATTGTGCGCGTGTGAACATTCACACAAATTAAAATTTCTGTTGAGAAAATACTACTCTTGTGGTGGTGGAACGATATACGCTAGAAAAAAAATTTTGTTGAAAACGAGTGCCGGAAGATTTCCATAATCGACAAAATTCAAATGCATGCATTCAACCATAAAGATGGGAAATTCTGTAGATGATCTCAGCATTCTGTGCAAAGGATAATTCATTTTCACTTTACTGAATGTTGTGTTGGATTTGTACTTTACAAAATAGGAAAAAAATAGTTTATTATTCACTAGAGACCGAAAGTGCATCATTCACCACAAAGTTTACTGGTGCATAAATATTCACACAAACTAAAATTCGAAGGACCTGTCGAAGGCCCCGGTAGCTTGTGAAAAATAACAGTAGTTTCTAACGTATATCCACAGAATATAAAACTATTGTCATTTGTTTGTACGAACTACCAGGACATTCGGCAGGAATTTTAATTTGTGTGTATGTTGCGCGCGCACAATTTTTGCGGTGAAAAGTGAGCTTCCAGACTCTAATGATTAACTTATTTTTCCTAGTCTGGGACATTCATTAAAGTACAAAAGTAGTATCCTTTGCTTACACAGAATGCTAAGATTATCAGCAGAAATTTTTGTTGGTATTGCTGAGTATGCACACTTGAATTTTGTGGATTTTTTTGTACAAGCCATCGGGATTCTCGGCAGAATTTTAATTTATGTGAATGTTTGCACGTACAATCTTTCTCGTTTTTCTTGTTTATTTATGTTAATATTGATAAATTTTGCACATTTTTATTGTTTTTTACATATTTTCATTTTTTTACCGAGGTGAAATTGGAAAAAAATTTTTAATTTTTCCTCTTTGATAAAGTCTGGCATGATCTTATCAAAATTAAAACTAACTTTTCTAATAATTACTTCAAATATCTTAAATCATACTTGGAAGATCGCTTTGAGAAATGCGGAAAAGCGATAACCCATAAAATTAAATCTGGAGTATCTCAGGCGTATTTGGACCTATCTCATATCTTCTTTATACTGCTGACTTTCCAATTTTACCTCTAATCACGACAAGTACCTTTGTAGACGTCACTGTAGTATCAACATCGCATATTGACTCAACTATAGCCAGCAACATATTACAAACTAGCCTTAACGAGATTTTACGATGGATAAGAAAATGGAAAATAAAAATGAATGAAATAAAGTCTGTTCATGTCATTCATCTGTTCTGACCTTCACCAGGCGAAACATGCCCTTCAGTATTACTCAATGGAGTCCAAGTCCCTCTAACTGAAAATGTCAAATACCTAGGTATGCACTTAGTTAAACATCTTACCTAACATAAACATATCTTCACTAAGCAAAAGCAGCTCGGTCTCCTACTACGCAAGGTGTACTGGATATTATATAGAAAATCTAAATTATCCTTAAAAAATAAACTACTAATATACAAAAGTATTATAAAGTTAATTTGGACTTACGGGATATAGCTGTGGAGAATTGCCACGAGCTCAAACCTAGAAATACTGCAAAGGTTCCAGCCAAAGGTATTTGAAATCATTGTTGACGCTCCCTGGTTTGTCACAAACGAAATTTTTCATAATGACTTTAACATTCCAACGGTTAAAGAAGAAATTTCCAAACGGTTAATAAATTACAAAGCCAGATTCGAATATTCCAATGAATATTGTAAAGGACCTCTTGAAAGATACGATTACAACTATTGGGTCTATGCAAACTCACAAAAAGATATGCGCCGGGTACGGAGAGAATGCCGTAAGCGAAAGTGTGTGTCGGAAGTGATTTACGAAATTTCGTTGTGGAGATTTTAATCTCCAAGATGCTTCTTGCTCTGGTCGGCCAGTCACTACTGATGTCGATCAAATTAAGGCTTCAATCGACTCCTACCGGCATTCGACGACTACAGAGATCGGAGGACATAACCTCAACATTGACCATACAACTGTTTCGAGACATTTACGTAAGCTTGGGATAGTAAACAAGCTTGATGTTTGGGTGGCGCACGAACTGAACGAAAAGAATATAATGGACCGAATAACGTTTTTCAAAGTCATTCTAAGGTCAAACGTTTTTCAAAGTCATTCTAAACTCAAACATTTTTTAATGTCTGATAGCTTTTTTAAAACTCTACAACTTTTATTACAAACATTTTGTTGTAATTATTATTTTTTTAAATAATTAGCCGTTCTGAAATTTCTGGCAAATCCTGTATATATATATTAGGTGGTAAACTTAATTCCTGCCGCTCGCTATTAGAGGATATTATATTTCAATGTCAATATTTTGTAGCCATACCCTTTGCAGCAATAACAGCGGCACAATGATGTGGCATCAATTCAATTAGTCGATTAATGCAAGTAAATGGAATTTTATCCCATTCTTTCTTCCTTCAACGATTTGAATAGAGCGGCCTTATTTGAATGTGTATGCTTTCGAATTTGACCGTCTAGCTGTTCCCACAAGTGTTCTATCGGGTTCAAGTCCGGTGATTGGAATGGCCAGTTTAAACCCTCACATTTGTAATAGAAAACCACTTCTTTAACAACTTTGATGTGTGTTTGAGGTTATTATCCTGCTGAAATATCCAATCCTGTGGCATTGCTTCTTCAACATATGTTAATAAATATTTTTCTAATATGTCCTTGTAAACAGCAACGTTTATAGTTCCATTGATCTCAAGTAGAGCGATTCCTTGTGCAGAGAAAATTCCCCAAACCATCACACTTCCTCCACCGTGCTTTACAGTAGGAATTTGGTACCGAACGTCATTTCTGGTACTAATAGGACGTCGTACATGTTGTCTACCATCGCTTCCAAAAATATTAAATTTAGATTTATCTGAGAAAGCTATTGTTTTCCAATCTTCGACTGTCCAATTTTTGTGATCTTTGGTAAACTGTAATCGGGCTTTCTTATTCTTTTTACTGATTAATGGTTTTTTAATACCTATACGGCCAAAAAGTTCTATATCATGTAGCCTTTGTGTCACAGTACTACAGCTAACATCAGGCACGGTTTTCATCCCGTAGCTCGCGTGCAATTTCAACAACAGTTTTCTTGACATCTGCAGTTGATTTGTGTTTAATGACACGATCTACTTTTTTTAGATGTTTTTCGTGGCCTTCCACTACGTGGGCGATCTTTTAAATCATATCTAGCACGATACTTAGCAATAATATCATTTATGGTTGATTTACCTATCGATAGAAGTGAAGCAATCTCGCGAGAAGGCTTTCCGTCTTCTGAAAATTTAATTACTCTCTTGTAAATTTGAATTTGCGTATGCCGAGCCATGTTTATGCTTCAACGACTTCCTATGAACTAAATGTAATCATTTAACGCGATACTATTTGTAAACAAACCATTGGACCTACAGTGGGTCAAATATATTAAGTGGCCAGAAACTTTTGCACACGTAAATATTACAATTATAACAATAAATATTTTCACGAACATAAACAATATTCTTTTACTGTATTATTTCATTTCCTATATCTTAGGCTCACACCTGATAATGATAAAAATTTCATTAGGCTTTTTTTTTGATAAATTAGAGTACAAAATGTCACTGGCCGGAAACTTGCACGTCACTGTATATGGAAAACACATATTAATGAAATAGTGCGTTGAATAATTTTATCTAATATGATGTTGTTTGTTACTGCGAATATTTAACGTAATTATTTATACACACGCGCCTGCACACACATATTATAATTAAAGGAGAGGGCTTTAGCAACAGTGCGTCAATGAGTTATTGCGACCTAGAAAGATCTATTGTGACTGCACACACATATACACATATAGAAGAAACTATGTTTAGAGAAAATAATATTTTTGTTATGGCATCGAAATTAACATCACATCATTTTGAGGTTTGGTTAAAAGATGTCTATTTTCCAAATGTTGGTTCTAAATCAGTTTTATCTTTGGATTCGTGGACTGGTCACTGTCCACATATAATTCAAAGAAATAGACGAGATTTTGCAGAAAATATAGTTTTTCTAACCATACCCACAGGAATAACAGGCCAAAGACAACCGTTAGATGTATATGGTTTTCGCTTATGGAAAAGTGTTATAAAATTTCTCTGATACAGTAATACTTTTAGATTTGGAAATAAAACTTCATGCACGCGATGTTTTAAAATTGCAATCTTTAACACACTATCAGTTTTCGTCACCAAGATTTAGAAATTTAACTGTTTGCAGTCGAACTCCGGGATATTCCCGACAAGGCTGTTTTACCGTTGCAGTCGTGTGCCAGGAATATCCCGACTCTGGCATGCGACAATTATATGTTTACCTATGCAGTGAAATTCAACACTGCTTATCTTATCGCACTATGTACACACTTCTAAATACTCTCTGGGGCCTTTGCCAGCAGGAACAGTCCTTATTTCGTTCAGTTGAGATCGTTCTTTTCGTACAAGCAGCAGACTCATTATTACTGAACTTTACTGCTTTTTTTAGAATTCATTATTCATTGGTATTTATCTGATATTTTACATTTCTAAAAGTTACATCCTGAAATGTCCAAACGGAGACAAGAATCTAGTGAATATGAAAATGTGCAAAGCAGTGATGATGAATTTCATATGGATTATTTTGGCGAGCCCAATGAATATACTGATGACGATGACTTCAATAGCAATTCAGATAGTGGTAGCGATATCATAGTGCCTAAAGAAAATGTGTAGTACAATTACATTCAAGTGGCAGGGATATTGAAGAGATATCAGAAAGTAATATTCCAAACGAAAATATTATATGGCAAGATGTTACGCATATGGACATCAATTTTCCAAAAATAAATTTTTCCAAAATAATTCCAATCATTACGACTACTATGCCTACAGAAAATACAGTCGCAAAGTTAATCAAATATGCATGGTATAAAAGTGGTTATATAGAAGAGAGACCATCAGAATTTTAAACACCTATTAATTTTTGTTTTAAAAAGAAATTAAATAAAGCAACATGCGATATTGCGGCGACATTGCCATAATTATTTGCGCATGATGCAAACAATCACTTTATATTCAACATTTCTTTCAAGATCATCATATGTGTAACATGTATGATCCGTAAATATTATAAAAACTTTAATCGGAATTGTGTTTTACTATTATACACTTTATATTCTACAGGGTGCATCAGCTAAATCCAGACAAGATAAACAATGTATTTAACAAAAGTTTATTTGTCAAATGTACAAAATTACATAAAAATCTTTTTTCGTGTCATTTGTGGAACCGTTATATACAAAAATTACTCAGTGTAACCACTGTCTGCCGCAATTACTGCCTCAATCCTAAGCCTGAAGCGATGGCACGTTCTCTGCAACGCCGGCTTGTCCTTATTGAAGAATGCTGCTTCTAATGCGGCCTGGAGAGATGTCACATTAGGATGACTTGTTAGTGACCCTTTCAATCACATTCCACACGTAATAGTCCAACGGATTTAAATCTGAACTGTTCGAAGGCCAAAACTCTTTTCTCCAAAACATGTCGACGTTGTCCGATATCCAGTTTTCAACCAAATGACTCGTGTGAGCTGGTGCGCCGTCCTGTATAGCCTCCCGGAGGTCACAGTGACCTTCCATGGCATGATTACTGTTGTTAGAACGCGTATATATATTTCCTTTATGACGGTTTTTCCTTTATTAAAAAAATATGGCGGCATGACGTCATCCTCGCTGGAGACAACACTTAGGACGTGAACACTGGCTGGAAACATCGTCCTAGCTACAACGGAGACATCGTCGGGGTCATAGGCAAGCTAACGGTCGTTTCTGCGGTTCACTTTTACGTCGACGGTAAACATTTTCTCGTCAGAAAAAAATCTGACGCGTTCCGCAACTTCGTTTTTTAACGAACATATAAGCAAGTTGCAACTCTCTACATTCTGACAGCCTCAGACAGCATCTGTCGTATCTTTATGACGTATGACTTGTAGCGTAGGTCCTCTTCGACTATTCGGCGCATGATAACCTTACTCACACCCAAAATTGTCGTCAATTTCCTGAGAGATTGCCTTGGGTCTCTAGCGATCAGGGCCCTTTGCACAACTTCCGGGGTCCTTGTCGACCTCTTCCTTGAATAGCTCTTCCTCGATGGGTTTGCGGAATTTTCTTCGGGCTTCTCCTTATATTTATAGCGAAAACTTTGTAAACTGTCGATCTCGGATATTTGAAGAACTCAATTATTTCAGCCGGCGTATGTCCAGCGCGAAGACTTTCAATAATCGTCGCTTTTCGGTTATATTCCATGCTCGATCTTGATTGCTCAACCATTTTGAGGTTATGTTCGTTCAAAACATTGTTTTAACTTACTCGGACACAAATACCAACTTAGTGCTGAAGTAAAATATGCTGGAAAATTCAAATTGAAATTTGTTCGGATTTAGGTGACGTATCCTGTATTATACTTTGTTGAACAATGTTTTATGTAACTAATGTATCATAAATATAAATCTATTGATGAAATATATGTTGCAATTGAATAATGTATTAAACGAAAGTCACAAACTCGATTCTAATGCCGAAAGTCACAATCTCGATTCTAATGCCGAAAGTCACAAACTCGATTCTAATCTGTTTTTATGTCCATTCTAGCACATATACATACATATAAATATTGTGAAACAAAATCTTTTCATTTATATTCATTTTTCCTTCCTTCTTTAACATCATTATTTTTTATCAACGAATAACAACGTTATTTCATTATTAGTTTCATTATCAGATATAATCAGATATAACGTTTATTATGAAATATTAATATTTTTTACCTTCTTTTACGCTACCGAGCTTCGTGCAAATGTGTTTCAACTGATAATATTTATTCAATAGATTAATGTTATGTTATATACGAGTAAAACTGTTTCATATTTGTATACATGGCTTTTTCACAAAGATTGTGCAAAAGATCAAGAAACGTTTTTCACAAATCTGTAATAAAAATAATGATTAAACAAAAAGCAAATAAAGAAATATTATTAATATTTTAAAAATTATTAATATTAAAAGAAATTTGAAACACACACATAGCAATATGCACTAACAAATTTACACTTGCAACGGCTATTGCAAGGGAATTGCGTTATGGTTATATGGGGATATTTTCATCTATTTTTCAAAATGGTTCTTATGTCGGAAAATCATATTATTATATATAGTTGGATTTGGCATAAAATATACTTTTCTCTGATAGACAAAAAATTTGAAAATTATGA